CGATCGAGAGCGAAGAACAGGACCGCTAGCCGATGGCAGATTAATTGCGGCTAGGATAGGATGGCGAGCTGATTACACTAAAAATGTAATCAGTTAGTGATAGGCTTCTAAGCAGGAGGTAGCCTCAGGCTTCCCCTGGGATAGGGTCTAGTTAGGTGTGGCGTCGATCTGGGATAACCTGAAATCACATGGCCCAGATCCTCCCTAGACTAGGGCGCGTAAGGCTGGCCGTGAGGGTGGTTTTTAGTGGAAACATCACATACTTCTGGCTCCTGTATCCCCAAAAAGCCGGAGATCCAAAGAGATTTTCCACAACATCAAAAAAAAGCCCCAGAGACCTTGCGTTGATGAATCAGACAGTCACTCAGAGCTAGTAATTTTATATGTATAGAAAGAAAAAAAAGCAAGTGCCTTGAGTAATTATTTTCTTTGTTCCCAAATTAATTGGTTCCCTCAAAATTCTCATGAAGGTAAAATCACCATTGACGTTCCCTTACACAACCGGTAGTTTTAATTTGACAAAAAATATCTAATGACACTTCCGTTAGGTTACGGAGATATGTTGTTAATTAATTTTGTAATAAAAAAGTACTTTGAGTTTGTAACAAGTAAGGCAAACAGAATAGCTTTTTATCGTTTTTTTCAACTACTCTCAATACAAATGTAAACTAAACGAATTATCTCTGACAAAAGCGATCTAAAAACAGCATAAGTAGATTTTATACTATCTGTTGTAAAAAAATAACTCTTCATTACAAAATAAACGCTTATAAAAATAGACATTATAGCTATAACAGTCAGAAACTACAAAATTATACTCAAAAGAACTTTCAATTAATGTCCGAGAGTTCTATTTAGGATGATTGTGTTTTGTAAAAAAAAAGTCAGATTTTAGATTTTATTAGAACATTTGTGTACAAAAATTATTTTTTGTTGTTTTAAAATCCAAGTCGTATCTAGCAATATACAGTTATAAAAAAAAGGCTAGTCTTACTTTAATAACATAAAGTACACAATATCCATACTTATTTTTCCTTCTTCGGAATTTCATCAGTAACAATCCACCGTCATGGAGTTGTCTGCTACCTTGTTTTAATAATAATAATGAACATGTGCCTAATTATTGCCTAATTCTTTTTAGAAAATCTCAACTTATTTTGTTTTTCCATTATGATAAGGGAAAAAGAAATGAAAAATATATAATGGTAAGAATTTTTTAATTAAAAAAATCTCGGTCAAATTACATATCACTATTTCTAACCATATTGATAAAAGCTTGTACTACGAGTTCTAAAACACGGATAAACGTATATTGATACTTTATTTTTTAAATATATATATATATATGTTTATAGAAACAGCAATAGCAAACGGATGTATTCATTCATGCTTAGCAGCATAAATATTTGCACTGAGCAGGAATTAAACCCGCTACACTTGAAGTGACAATCGAATACAATGTTGGCGACGACACGACGACCTCTGGGGTAACAGAGGCCGTCGTATTTCTACTCTTTCATACATCATACTGCTCACTTACATTTTACTAGCTACCTAGCTTTGGAATTCCTTAACTTTCATACCTAATAAAACATTTCGCAAATGTAATAAAATTTAGGAACATAACTTGTAAGTGACATCTTTTTTCACCAGTACATAGTATGACAAAGAACCTTTTGATAATAATAATATAATAAAATTTGGGTGACGTGATGACGGATTCAGAATAAGGAGTGTCACCATCCCCATTAATAACTTGGATTTCGTCAGAGCTGACTGAGGGAGCAAACTACTCAGGACAGCAGCACTGCAAAGAAGAAGAAACCTTGACACAAACCCTATACTAACCCGTACATGGTATAATAGACCAAACCGCCCTTTCTAAATTCAGGCCTGCATTTTACTGGTAATGTACTACGGAGTAGTGCAACTACTCTCAAGGCACAACTAAGCTAAGCAAAATCGAACGCAAGTACAGACTAGCACTGAAAAATGCCGAACCACTACCAAGACGAATACCCACAGAAGCGATCTGGGAGATGACTGACATAGAAGCCTTAACACCAAAATATTGAATAAAAATACAAAATTGGAGATAGAAGATCTTGAATCCCCTGGAGATGCCTACCAAGCTCAAAGCGAATTCAACCCACTCAGGAGTAATCACATATTAGGCGATATATTTTATGACCCTAATAAAAAAGGACGCCAGCGATGGCCTACCGTTAAAACGAAGGTTAAACCGCGTCCACTAAAAAAAGAAGGGAAACATAATATTTAATCAATGAGATATACTGTAAGCATACAACATAAATAAAACACGTAATCTGTTTGATATTCTCACACTTTACGAATAAATAGAACACAGCAAACGTAGACCCATTTGGACCCGCCAGAGAGTGGGGACCTCTGGTGGCAGATTGATTGCTGCGGTAGGGAATGGAATGGCCGGCCTGATTGCATTAAGATGCGATCGGGCCGCCATGCCGCGATTGAAGGGGGAAGTGTTCTCCCCTGGGATAGGGCCTGATTAGGCATGGTGTCAATTCGGGGAGGACCTGAAATAACATGGTCCGGGTCCTCCCCAGAGTAGGACACCTAAGGCCGGCCGTCGGGGTGGTTTTTAGTGGAATCACCACATACTCCTGGCTCCTGAGTCCCCGAGGAGCCGGAGATCCGAAGGGATTTTCCACCCCGTCAACAAAAAAAAAAAAAACCATTTGGACATAATTTAGCTGACTCACCTCTGCACGGCCCACCGACCACAGAGACATTTTCGTAACAGACAAAGTAGGCAAATAAATGTTATTCTGATTCTGATTCTCCTCTCTGAGAAGAGGCCTGTGTCCAGCAGTGTACTATTTAGGGCTGTTGATGGTGATTGATAATGATGAATAAGATTTTTAGTCGCGTGAAATCTGGTACAAAAGGGTGGTACGAAAAATATGGGCACGATATACATTTTGTCAGTAATTGGCATGCAAATATAATTATAGGTGTTTTCAGACAATAATTAATTTAAACTAAAATTAATAATATGCATAAAATTAAGGACGCACAATAATTTCTTTATAACATTCATAATACACACCTAGAATGCATTTAAAAAATGAAAATCTCACTCATTCATCACACATAATATGGTGGTGAAGCATACGTAGAATAAAAGAAGAACTATAAGTGGACCTATCACTAAGGCGGTTGAGTAGTTAGAATTACTAGACAGATTATTAGACTAATACTTGTAGAATTTCAAGTACATGTTTTTTGTGTGCATGTGTTAAAATTACTCGTAATAAAATTAAAGATTACATAAATGTAGTATTAAATTAGTGAATTTCACAGATTAGGTTGAGCGTATACGTTAAAAAAGGTGCACCAGATACTTGGCAGGAAAGTTGACTAACAACTGAGTATAAGAAATATTGTATATATGAATTGGATCTATAGCGTAGCTTTGTAATACTATGTTAATGTAATAATAATGTACGTTAATAACTAGATTTAAAAAGTCTAAAATACCGTAGTTTCTAGTAAGGCTGAGTTTTGAATTCTCCTAAGATATAGAAATAGCAATAACATAAACCGTCTGATTTTATTAAATAAATCGAAGTTTACTCGCTTTCCTAAACTGTTGCAAATATATTAAGATAATTATGTTTTATTGTCATTAAAATCTCAGCTATACAGGCACATATTTTATAACTAAATAGTGTATTTTACTGAACTCGTTTCTTAAATAATCTTGGTTAAACGGTAAGCATTAAAAAAAAGAGGTGAGAAAATAAACAATAACTTAAAAAAAGTAATTTATTATTATAGTTATTTTACAAAAAATTATCTTCTATCACTATTATACAAAATTTACAAAGAAATATGGTTTAATATGAACCTTAATTCATAATTTTCAGAATTTCTATAATTAACTAATATACATATACATTAAAAATTATACTAATAACAATTTTATACTCTTCTAATTGATTTACAAAACAGAATGAACGTTTAAACAGTACTACCTTCCCATAAGCGGAAGTGAGCCTTCATTGGACGACATTCATGACAGTACATCCGGTCGGCATTGACTATAATATGTAGCGAGGTCAACCATTCTTGACACTTTCGAGACGAGACCTTAGTATTGAGGAAGGGACCTGTATTCGAGTCAATATCAATGTAATCTACATAGGTATAATTGTCTCTATTAAACTTGAAATGGTGTATGAAAACACACGAGCCTAAACAGTATTTGTAACATTCGAGCAATTCATGTATACATTTGGACTTTACTGCACTAAGTTTACATTTTTATTATTAAGTTTTACGTCTTTCAACTTATAAATTTTAACTATAAATAAGATACTGATTAAACAATATAATAACATAGGGAGATTGTTTACTCTTTTTCGTCCTTAGTCATTATTAGCGACACCAAAATCTTCATTTATTAATCCTTGAAATTTTTCTTGTAATAGAACTAATACAATATTTTAACAAAATAATGCACGATGTATCTGTACAAGATTAATGATGTGTGAATAAACGAATGAGATGAATGAAAAGTAGGAAATTCATCTTAGAAGTCAAGAGTTAGGGAATAATAGCCGCGGCATGCATAGGATTCTGCTGCAACTAGTATTTATGAGCCTCTAAAATAATCTTCATCTTTTTGCATCAGGTAAATGTACGAGTACAGTATGTAGACATCTCATTTAGGAATATTATTTCATGTTTACTATTTTTGCCTCAATTTTTGCCTCGTCTAGTTTCCAGTCTCTTATCCCTTATGCAGGTTAATATTGTGAAAGAGAATGAGTGTCATTATATATGATAAATTATCATCATGTCATTTTAAGGAATTAAATAGTTACTTGTTACTGTATGTAGTAGGTGCAAATCGATCTAAATGTGAATTGGTCTAAAATTACATCTGATATGGATGATGATGACTTTCTTCCAAACAAACGTAATACTAATTGAACTATAGACATTAAGAGTATTTAATAGAAATTTTCCATAATGTACCTAAGGGCTGACGCTACCATTATTCCAGCGGCTGAAGTTATATGACTATTGCAAATACCACCCAAAATTTGATCATCTTTGACGAACTGCCAGCCAACATCTTCAACAATAGTAAATGCTGTAGGAGCTTCCTCAGATTTGGTGAGGTTGAAACATCCCGGTGATATTTGTAGCTCCAAGAGTTCGTCTAACCAGGCTCGCTGAAGAAATTGTGAGTGACCTTCGAGACTACATAGAGAAACTGAAAAAAAAAACAAATTATGATATCAGTCTCGTTTAAACCTGCGTCAGCGTAGGGTAAGATATGACACACAGAAATTATCCAGTCAAGGAGCTACTAAGGCAGAATAATAGCATCACTAAAAAATCCCCGACACAAAGAAAAGCTTTCAAAAACAACAGCTGTTCATTAAGACTGTTCTAATAAGCCCAAACATAGTATATTAATTGGTATTGTAATTTTCTGAGGAGTTGGCTATCCCGCAGACTACTTGATGCAGCAGCAAGTTCCAGGTGATCATGTCGTGGAAATACCATCAAAGTAACAGTATACCTAATTTCAGATCAATCGGACTTCTGGATTTTAGTGAGACCCCTAGACATTTCGATTCATTCCACATTCACTAAAACTGGATAGGGACCTCTTGATCTAGTTATAAGTGATCCTGATTGCTAAGCTAGAAGTCGTAGGTTCGATTCTCACTCAGGACAAATAGTTTTGTGATGAACACGATCATTTGTTCTACTACCACATTGGATTTACTAACTAATAAATAAGTCGAAATGTCATTTTACACATTAGTTACAGACACTAACTAATGTGTGTTGTGTCAATTATAATTTTCGAATAGTATTGAAGGATAATTATTACCCTCCAGTTATGTACTTACTCTGTTGTGTAATCAAATCCGGTAACTGAAAGTCGTGTTGTGCGATGTACTCGGCTTCGTTAAACATTTTTGCGCACAACTTTTCTGTTATCTTTCTATCCTCCAGTGCTGAGAGAAGGACACATCCTCTTGAAAATCGGGCCGCCAATAAAAACAATAATCTGTGAATATAAATTAAATATATATATTGTATTTTAAAGTTTTTTTTGACTAGATTTTCTAACAAAATCTTGTCAAAAAGAAAAGAACTCTTTTCCAACAAAAATCTGTAAAAAAAAACTATTAAAATATTCATATTTCATACTATTAAAAAAATATTTACGTTACTATTCAACATCATCATCATTATCCACAGCCTTTAACAGTCCACTGCTGGACATAAGCCTCTCCTTAGAAAGGAGGATTTGGCCTACTACGAGTATACCAGGCTGGACGGATGGGTTCGTATAGTGTTTGTGTCAAGTTTTCCTACTCTCTGCAGTGCCGTTGTTCTGCGTAACTTTTTCTTTTAGTCGGCTCTTACGACACCCACGGGATGAATGGTGTCAGTGTCACGGGTGTGGTGACACTCTGTATTCTTAATCCGTCACCACATGGACCGGACGTTACTATTAACTAACTAAAAAATATATACTTTCATTTGCAACTTTACCCATCCTACCATTCATGGGACTCTGGCAACTACCAACTCACAGAAAAAGAGCCCTAGGCGACTTTAATCTCTATTATAATAACTATCTCATTCTCAAGATCTACTACATACATATATAGTTGTTTAAAACTTTTCATATGTAAAGAGATGTAACACATGTCAATAAAACCTAGTGATACACCTATTCTCGACCTCTTTGGAGGGATTAATAAGAAAGAACTGACTTTTACGTGCAAAAAATCTTATTGATTTTTAAATAGTGCAATGAATTAAAAAAATATTAATCACTAAGTAATTGGTGTCCTACTTTCTTGATACTAAATGTGTAGGGTAAAAACTTACTCAATTTTAAATATGATAGATTATACATAATGCATATATCTATGTAATCGAAGATTTACAAACTTATAGTTTATCAATATGTCAATACTTGACTTTTACTAATATCTAATCGTAAATCAATATAGTTTTATTTAGGTTGTTGGAAGTTTTTGTTGTTGAAACTTAGCTGTTCTTACCTGTGCGTCATTTCGTAGCCATAATTGGTCCCTTTCTGGATCAATTCAGAACAACTGTAAGGTACTTGACAATGGATCAAATTCATGTTAAAATTAACTGGGTTTTGTGCTAGCAAATTTAAACAAGCATCTGAAAAATAAAATTACTTTTTTGCCGTTAACTAGACTTGCATCGACATAGTTTCTTATTCATCTTTAAGGTTAGGCAATATTACTAGCTATTAAGAAGTCTTATAGATTTCATCTACATCACATACTAGAAATGTAATATCATCATCAATTGACAGATTTTAATAGTTCACTCCTGGACATAGGGGTTTTCCTCGAAAGGGGGTTTTGGCCTACTAAGCCACCTTGGCGAGACAGGTTGGTACAGGGTTTGTGTCAAGTTTTCTATCTCTTCGCAGTGCTGTTGTCCTGCGTAGTTTGCTTCCTTAGTCGGCTCTTACAACACCGACGTTATAAATAAGGGTGGTGACACTCCGTAGTCTTAATCCGTCACCACAACGATAGTATATATATCATATAGATAGTACTGTACTGCTTGTTAGTACTAAATCACAAACATATTACCAAACGTACCTGATTCCTCTGGGCTTAGATAATGGCTCCTGTTAACATCGAATACTTTTTTCAAATACTTAGGCCACTTAGAATACGTTCTCTCTAAATGTTTCTTGGTGGTAAATTTTGTTTTCTTCAATAATCGAGTGTTAAATGTTTGTAAATGATTTATCCACGCCGTTTCGTTTCTATATAAGTCTACCACTGAAACAAACGATTTTTAGAATGTGGCTGTAACTGATGCTAACTATCGCTGCCCATGAGTGGGCCTTTATTACGACCAAGAGACAGGAAGCAATAATGGGTTGTAACTTAGCCGTAGTCTTTCTTAAGTAAGCAATATTTCAACTAGAATTTTCTTGCAAGTATTTCTTAAGTTTCCTAAAACATTTGAAGATATTTCGCCTATATAATGTAATTATAATTACACAAAATATAATTGTCTATCCTTAGATAATTGTGTGTGACTTTCGTCTTTTCGCTTTTCACAAGTATGGTATATCACAAAGACGAAACGCAAACGATGATCAATACATAAATTATCCTTCTAACGTTTGTTCTATACAATAGTACTTACCACCAATAGGTGTTCCAAATTCTGGATCAAGATGAGCAGCGTGTTTACGGAACATATCGAAAAAGTATGTTATAATGTCATCATTTGTCTTTAGAAGTTTCTCCAAACGTAGGCGATTATATTTGGGTATGCGATTTTTTCTGATCTTAACAGCTGTTCTTAAATTTACTGCAACAAGATAAATGTTTTAAGAATGTATATCAGTTTCGTTGATACGTTATTTCATAAAAAGAGATAAAACTAGTTTGAATCCAATCCTTAATAATGTAATGAAATCAATCAATTGTTGTAACATTTTCACAATCAGTTACTTTTAATGAGTGTTTTATAGACATCTAAAAGCTTTGACAATTACTTTAAAACCAAACACACCAGTTTAAACAGTGGCCTGACAGTAAGCACAAAGAGAAACTTATTTTTATCTATCGCAATTTAAATAGACAATTCACTCCAAAAGAGCTGAACACATTTAGATGAAATTTGTCACAGAGATAGATGGTCTGGAACAGCACATACTCATAATTAAGTATATTCTCCCATACACAGAGGTTAACGATAGATAAAATTTCATTGACGAAATACCAAAATGATACATAACCTTAATGTGGCTGAAAAGTTACAAAGTAATCAAATTTTACTTACCGTTGATTAAAAATAATCCAAAGCATAAATTCAAATCCACATAAAACCGGTGTCCATTAACAAAAGCAACAGTTTTCTCCAACACCGACAGATATTTATCGAAGTCCGCTTTCTTCGGTAAACCTTCAACCACTTCCATTTCTTTGCGAATATAAAGACTATTGTAATATGAATCTTGATGTAATGAAAAAACACTTATCATTAAGGTTATAATGACTAAACAAATACATAGAAGAGTGACTAAACACGATCGGGGGAAAACATTATATATTATCTTCATAGTATTTGATTGATTGTTTGACAATTTTTCTCTAGAGGTTGTTTTAACATCTGAAATCTGATGAAAACTGATAGTTAATCTTTGGATAATCTTGCTTTTATTGAAAACAAATGGAAAACAAAAATGACGTCTCCCTCATTTCAATAGACTAACTTTTTGGGTTGTATGAAATTATTATGTAAACATTTTTGAAAATTCGAGAAGTAATTGAAACTATAAAAACAATACTGAGAAACAATAGCTCTTTTTGGATATTTGTATATATTTGATCACATCACTAATTTGCTTTGTTTTAAACAAATCATAGATGAACGGATTACAATACCTTACATTTCAGTGTTGATCACATAACCACTTCAATCTTGTTGGTAAGCTAATGAAGTGCATTGAAAATAAATTTGACGATCGTTAAAATAGGTAGTTTTAGGGCTGATATGCAGAGGTAATATTTTAAGTAAGAGTTTTCATAGCCGTAATCAGTATCACTTTAAAAAAAAATCGAATGTGACCTTGTTATCGATTATAAGGAAATTTTCATAAGAAGTCTCTTCATTTAGTAACAGCAGCATGTTTTTTTTTTAAATCGTGGCATATTAATAAAAATACTGATTCTTGAATCAATAGTTAACTAAAATAAATATTAGTACCAAAGGGACTTCGTGTGCCAACGTAACGGTCAGTTCCAATTTCATTAAATTTAATTTTGAACTTTGAATTAAAATATTAATTGACCTAAATAGGTGGTCTAGCAGGAGGACTTACTTATAGACAATCCGAGCCGGGAGAAATTTTTCAAGTTGGTTTAAAAACTTTTCTTTAACTTTACAAGTGTTTTATTATTGTTTACTTATCTATGTTAAATAAAAAAATATTTTCAGTCTTACGTAGATCTAAAGCAAATATAGAAAAATCTACGCCATAAAAAAAACAGTCAAGATTTCAGTTTCTTTTTTTACTCTTCTTTTGTGCTCTTGCTATGTTTGAGTTTGAGCTATGAGTGCATTTCATTAATTAATTTAATTAATTCATTAATTTAAAAAAATAACTTATAAACCAATACCAAATTTATTCACCTCAAATCAAGAACACCATCTATTTCGATGTTATATCAGATCTCTTTTTTCTGCTCCACGATTTTTATTAGTTGATGTTTGTCAATGTCTATCGGTTTCTTCACCTTATCATCATCAACCTAACAAGCCACGGCTGGACATAGCCTTTCTTTAAAAGGAGGTTTTGGCTCACCATTCCACACTGGTACCAGGTGGGTTGGTATACGGTTTGTTTCAAGTCTTTAATCTCTTTGCAGTGCTGCTGACCTGCGTAGTTTGCTCCCTTAGTGGGCTCTTACGACACCCACAGATCATCTTACCTAACTAATTTTTCTTTCTTTAACAATAACTTTGTCTATGTTTCCCTTATTTATTTATTAATAGTTTCTAAAAACATATTTCATAAGGCGGACTTTCATAAGGCGAATTTTATTTTCTGCCAATCGACCTTTGTGTAAGCAGAGCTGTGTGTGTAGCAGTTGTAGCAGGTATATAGTTAAATCAATATTTTTTTTAAAGTAAATTTAAATAAGTGATTATGTGCTTGAATAAAAAAAAAGTGAGGAAACACATAAAGGTCTTATTCTTATAAGAAGCGTCGTGGATCATTCTACGTTACGTTACTCTAATAACCATTACAATAGTAACACGCAGAGAGAGGTACAGAATATTCGGATGCAAAGACAACTGTGTAAACTGTAACTAGTGGTAAATTTTCTATAAAGTCTATTATAAAATATAAATAAACAACATAAGTTATATTATGAACTAGATAACTCGCGCAACTTTGTCTGAGTCTCTGAAAAGGAATAAAATGATCCCGTTTTTCAAAAAAAAACATTTATGATCGTCTCCTATTGGTCGTAGATCTCCTAGGTATCTGTCCCTAAAATAATTTTTCAAAGCGAATCAATAAATCCTGAGATTACCACGTTAAACCAAACAAACACACTCTCTCAACCATCAGGTGGCCAGTCTGGTAATTTGTGCCTCTACCATAAAAAAAACCAGCGCGGCTGGCGCGAGCATAGCCATTCACAGAATCAAATGACTCATAATCTATTGATTTGTGCTATGTATGTACTTAGTAGCTTTTGCTGCTACGATTAGCGACGGCTATTATCGGAACTGCAACAAATATGTACGTTATCTACAGGCGCATATAAATTGAAATAAAAAATTGTTTTATATGTTTAAAAGCTGTTAGAAGAAAGCAAGATTATAAAACCGGTGAACAATCCCTTCGGATCTCGTGCTCCTTTAGGACTCAGGAGCCAGGAGTACGTGGCGATTCCACTAAAAAACCGAGGCCCGGGTCATGTGAAAAAGTTTTACGAAAAGGAGAAGGCTGTATCTGGGGAGTTTGTAATAATAATACAGTTTTTACATAATTTTATTTAAAATAAACATTTTTTTTATGTAAGCATCATACTCAACTAGAATGGAAAGTTTCAACAATAAATCTAATAGCAGCAACTAACACAGCCATTCCAGAACCCGTGATGTGTGTAAAGCAGGTGCCAGCCCAGATCGAAGGCTTTGTTCTCATAAACTGCCAATCTTCCACCTCATCACCCCATGCTTTCACTAGAGTATTATCTTTATCAGGCCTCTCGATATTGAAACAACCAACTGCAGTTTGGAAATCCATAAGCTCATCTATCCAAGACACTCGCATAAACTGAGCGTGACCCAATAGACTGCAAAGGGCAACTGAAATTATCAAATAAAACACATCTTATTTATTGTACGAAGAATATTATGCTGTACTATGACTACACATACGATTTAGATTAAGTTTACTGGAATTACTGATGTCTTCGCTATTCTGCTTAGGAATATCAAAATCAGATGTTCACAACATTCTATTAAACAAATATTTTATGAATATTTATTTAACTTACTGACATTGATTTTAAAGAAGTAACTTACAGACTAATGACAACAGTATGGGTATACATAAAATAATTGAGTCTTCATGAACTCTATAATAAAATAGAGAAGGTAACAAGCTCTAAAAAGAGTTATTTTATACCTGGGTTTTATGGTATTTTGACTAATAAGGAACAGTCCTACTCCTATAGTGGGTAAGCTCTTATCATAATTTGAGTAGGAGAGCCAACCTTCACATCATCACATCATCAATAGCCTTTAATAGTCTAAGACTGGACATAATCATAATAATAATAATCAGCAAACTCTGCAGTGCTGTTATCCTGCAGAGTTTGCTCTCTTAGTCAGCTCTTACGACACCTACAGAATGAATGATATATTGGCTGAAGGGCTAAATCGACCGAAGTGATGCCACGGCCTCACTGCAGACCGGTGTTAAACAATTTTTTTCACTCAGTGAGGTTGGGCATCTAAAGGATGTCAACGCACTTATGTCTCTTGAGTTGCAGGCGTCTATTAGTGGCAGTAGTCAAGTGACTACGGGTCACTGAATAGTAAGCACTATCCAGTGACCCCTCTGTTCGTTTGTGCCCTATGCGATTACCAAATTAAAAAAACTTACTTTGCTCCATAATCAAACTTGCTTCACGGAAGTCATGATACGCAATATATTCAGCTTCGTTATAAATCGTAGCGCAAAGTTCATCCATTATCTCTTTGTTTTCTTTATTAAGTCCAATGGCGCAATCGCGTGCAAATTCAGCCGCTATAACCATTAATAACCTGAAATAAATATTTTAGTACTATGACGTCTTGTATCTTTGCTATAAGACTGACTACAGGGGTTTGACGGTACGATGGCACATGAACGGGGAGGTTTGGTAATTTTCTGATGGTTGGACCAAGGAAAGAGTAGAAAAATTAATGAAAATCTGATTGCTCAAAGGGAAGTGAAAAGTAAGGGAGGAAAATCTAGTATCTAGTACAAAAATAAAAATGAAATTAAGAATAAAAATTAATTAAAATTAAGTTAGAATATTTACAACATTTACACTAGCTACATACAAGCATCCAAAAATTCCTCCGCATCATCGCCTACCGGTAGCGTTCCCAGGAGACTGGCAGCATTGCCACGTTAAATTTCAATGCTAATTCTGTGCTAGAAAAAGACCAGCCTTCTGATCACGAGAAGTGTCAATCTGTTTATATATAGTACGAGCACTTGGACCCCATGACCCTAGCGTTTCGACCCCAAACGGTTCAAAAATGTAATTTCTTAGTAATTTCTGATATTTACGCCGTTTGAGGGTTTCTGCAGATGCAGCAGCAGCGCCGGCGTAACCAGCAGTGCTTGGCAAATGTGATGGCGCAAGGGTGTCGACGCAGGTTGCGTCCCGCACCAAAGGCTTACCCATCTTCCAGTGCAGTAACGACATACCGTCCGATCTCTTCCCATCGTCTCGAACCAGACCATTGGGTTCATGTACAGCTGGAACGCCGGCCGTAACAAGAGCCCGACGGATAATGTCGTTACTATTGGCATATCGAGATATACGGCCAGCGCTTCTGCTACAAGAAAGGTCATGATGTCCAAGACTGTCAACAGCTTCTCCGCAGTGACAAAGATGCGGAGAAACACAAGGCGCACCTAACCGAAGACAAGTGGGAAGGCGAAATGTAATATCGTCCAACAAAGTGCCTATGTTGGGCGATTGAAGTGCCTGAATCCATAAGCCTGATTCCCATTCTCCCACAGCTAACAAACGAGCGCGCTCAGCAAGATTTATTGCTGTATTGATCAGTGTTTTTTGTTTTAAAATACATAGTGGTGCGTCCCATTGTCTCTGAGAGAATGGATTAACAGGTAATTAATTTATTAATTATTGCTCAAATAAGTTTCTGTCAGTTAGAATATTCATTGCATTGAAATATACATATTTATATATTTATTACTCTTAACAACATAATGTGGTTAATAACAATTAATATAACAAGTACATACTTACTACAAAAAGAATAGCAAAAAAGTAAAGAAATAAAATTGTAAAATAAGTAAAATTATATATGTTCGCTCCACTCCAACAGTTTTTTTGGATAGAATCTGGGTTTCGCTCAAAGACGGTCGACCAAAAAAGTTACTCCTACTGTCGAAGCTAACTTCAAGGTCATCAGTAGAACAGTGAATAGTTCTCTCGCTTTCTAATAATTGACTGACCACCCACGACCGTACTCTACAAAGAAACATCTTATTTTCATTTTCCATGTTTTTGTCGTTTATCAATAATCCTAAACATTATTGCCTTTTCATTGAAACCTATCTACTTAAAAATATTTCGTGTCACCAAACTTCTTTAAAAGTAAATAATTTGTTCTAAATCGTTTGAAGCTTCATAGTTTTAATCTGTTGTGTTAAGACATGAATGTCATCATTACATCACATCAACAGCCTATAACAGCCCACTGCTTGACATAGGCCTCTCCTTAAAAAGGAAGTTTTGGCCTACTATACCACGCTGGCCAGACGGGTTGATATAGGGTTTGTTTCAAGTTTTCCTTCTTTTTGCAGTGCTGTTGTCCTGTGCAGTTTGTTGCCTTAGTCGACTCTTACGACACCCACGGGATGAATAGGGGTGGTGACATTCCGTATTCTTAATCCGTCACCACACGGATGAATGTATGGTCAGTGATGAATGTATTGTTGATCAATATCTCCTAGAAGACATAGCTTGAGTCTTGGTCTACCTACATGGTAGGTACTCTAATATAACATCTTGGTGAAGTTTCCATCCCTGCGAATATGTTCTCATACCTTCTGAAACAATTCTTGTAAGAACTAAACTCTTTAATGCTTATGAATTTTGACGACCTATGATTATAAGAATATTATCGAATCTAATATCAACATTACCAAAATCCACAAATTGGTGAAGAGGTAATTTGTCTTATAAAGTTACAATTTCCGTTAACTCAATAAAAGCCTAATGTACTTTAGGTATGCGTTTAATGGGTGTTTTTCTGTCCTGTTCTTACCTGTTTTTCATGTTGTAGCCATGATCACTACCGTGTCGAATAAAATTGCTACACGAGAAAGGCAAATGACAAACAGCTTGTTCACTATTATTATTCACGGGATTTTGGGCAAGTTGGTTAAAACAATCCTCTGAAACACAGAAGGTTTAGTATATTACTTATAAGTTATATATAAAAATACTGCTACTGCAAACTTCATCATCTGCCTACCCTTTTCCCAATTTTATTTGGGGTCGGCGCAGTATGTATGATATTTCCATTCTACTCTGTCATGCGTCATCTCACTGTTTACTCCCTGCCTAACCATATCCTCCCTCACACAGTCCATCCACCTTTTCTTCGGTCTGCCTCTTCTTTTGTACCCTTCAACTCTCATACCTAAAACTTTCTTCGCCACATTTTCCTCATCCCTCCGCATGATATGTCCATACCAAGATAACCTATATACTTGCACCTATAACTTAAATCCTTAAGCATTTTATTCTACTAAGACACATTTGTGGCTATGACGTTTTGTACCTATATTATTTCAGTTCTCTCTACCACTGTGCAAGTGTGTTTCAAGACACTTTTTACCACGCACAACTAATCTGTGAAACAAGTTATCATCGGCGGTATTTTCGGACCGATACGACCTTAAAACCTTCAAGAACAGAGCGACTCCTGAGTTGCAGGCGTTCATGTGCGGCGGTAGTCACTTTTCATCAGGTGACCCGCCTGCTCAATGTAAATAAAAAAATTTAAAAAAATGTAATTAAAAAATATTCAATTACAAATCTCATGATTTGGAATTTTCATTCTGGGCATAATTCCATGGGTTTGAATAATATTTCTGCCCATAAGTATTACTGTTGTAATAGCTTTTTTGATTTGGTTTGATATTAAACTTCAAACCTTCAAGAAAAAAGAGTACTCCTTCCTCAAAGGCTGCCAACGCGCTTGTGACCCCTGAGTTGCAGGCGTTTATGGGCGGCGGTAGTCGCTTTTCATCAGGTGACCCGTCTGCTCGTTTACCCCCTATTCCATAAAAAACAATAAAAAAATGTTTTAACTAACGCGATAGTGACCTTCATTAGTTGGATTTGGATCTTCTCTCTTGCCAGATATACTTTCTATGTATTTAGGCCATTTTAAAAAGCGATCTTCTAAGTCCTTCCTGAAGTAGTATTTAGTTACATTCAATAAGTCTGTATTAAACTTCCGCAACTTAGATAACCACATCGTCTCATTCATGTATAGACTTAGAACTGCAAAAAAGAGATTTAAAAAATTGTATTCAAATATGTTGATCCTTCTGGTAAGGGTATATCCAGGAGACAGCGTAATAGTCTAATGCGAGTTTGCTATTGGCTATTATATCTCACAAGAATAGTTCCTATTCGCTGGCGTTTACGTTTCCTATTAAACAAGTTGCAAACCATTATAATGACGTTTAATTAGATCTAGGTGGCGCGCTACAGGCATTTCGTTCAAAGAATATGAAGCAAAAAATTTGCTTTCCATTGTGTTGCTTCTATTGCTGAGTAGTTGGTTTAAGAGACCGAAAAAACTGGGAGACATTTGTGTTATAACTACTAATATACTCGTAGATGCCAGTAATTACGTGATTGTTGAAATATTATAGTCAAGATCAACTGAAGGTACTTAATCCTAAACAAGATTGACACTTACTTGGCAAAAGCATCATTCGATGTTCTTTTTTATGATTTAGAACAGTTTTGTAAAAATATTCTAAAATATCTTCCGTGTTTAACAATAAATGTCCCAATCGAGTTCGTACGGGTTCCGATATTCGATACTTCATCATGGCTCGTATATTCACTGTAAGGAAAATGTTACAATTATTTAAAATAAGGTTATTTCTCCACAACGAACTACAAATTAAAGTAAGTACTTATCTGAATCCTTATTTAATAACTCAGTATTTACGGTAGTACTTGTGGTAGTACATGTTATAAACATTCCTGCATGATATTCCTGTCTCCAAAACTAAGCGGAGAACTTTCTCACGTGTGCGTTACCCCAGCAAAATAATGTCGAAAATGGTCATTTAAACGTTATAGATAATTAGTTGCTCCCCTTCTGTAATTGTTAAGCACATTTTTAAATTTGTTTCACTTAAACTTTTTTAGTTATTTCAAAAAAACATTTCCTGCTGGGGTAACGTTTGAAACGTTACCGCAGCCAGACATTTTCTTTTTTAATTGTAATATTGAAATAAATTTTAGCTAAATAATTAGTTATCTGGACTAGGTAAATGTTACAACTTATTTGGTATTTGTATTTTCTTCGGCTGCGAAGTTATTCGAAATCCTGCTGGAGTAACGTTTGTGGGTTTGCTGGATCTCTGAAACGGGTAAGCGGATTGTAACCATCTTTTGTACCTAACTTTTTAAGGTTTAGTTTTAATTTGTTCGACAATAAAATAACAAAAATAATGAACCGTTTAAAAATTATTTAGGTAAGTGTGAAAACACTTCAATACGTCCTAACACTTTAAATAAGACCTCTAAAGACTTACTTCAAACGTTATTCTATTCCTTGTAACTACCTTCAAATGTATACGAATTTTCGTAAGAATACTGTAAGTGACTAAAAAGTTATGATGAAATGTAGCTCTCCACGTTCACGATCACAATGTGTGCGGCCTTTTAGAGGCCACTTACCTAAATAATTTTTAAACGGTCCATTATTTTTGTTATTCTGTTGTCGAACAAATTAAAACTAATCCTTAAGAAGTTATGTACAAAAGATGGTTACAATCCGCTTACCCGTTTCAGAGATCCAGCAAACCCACAAACGTTACTCCAGCAGGATTTCGAATAACTTCGCAGCCGAAGAAAATACAAATACCAAATAAGTTGTAACATTTACCTAGTCCAGATAACTAATTATTTAGCTAAAATTTATTTCAATATTACAATTAAAAAAGAAAATGTCTGGCTGCGGTAACGTTCTCCAGCAGGAAATGTTTTTTTGAAATAACTAAAAAAGTTTAAGTGAAACAAATTTAAAAATGTGCTTAACAATTACAGAAGGGGAGCAACTAATTATCTATAAAGTTTAAATGACCATTTTCGACATTATTTTGCTGGGGTAACGCACACCTTTCTCACGCAAGATAGCTCAACTATGATTTGTAAATTTTCTGAATGTAGGAAGTTGCAGTGTGTCTGTGTTATGCAAATATGAATATATGGTGATCCAAATTAATACTCATTCATGTGTGTGTGTGTGTGTGTGTGTGTGAGTATATGTGGGTAAGCCTATGTAATCTTAAGGTAAAAGAAATGGAAATGTTTAATAATTGGATGTTTCATTTCAATTGATTAAACAGCAAACTCACCACAAAATCTACGCCAGTCTTTGAAATCAGATATACAACGATGAATACATAAATTGGCCTTTTTGCTCTTTAACTTTCATTATTATTTATTAAAAGTGAATTTGTAATCCAGAACCAAATGAGACATACTTCCTCTAATTACAAATGCAACATAATTGGATGGGTGCAACTTAAATTGCAATACATTGCAGTAAGTCCATTAAAAAATCACAAAGTCAAAAAGTTAAGCTGTATTTATGCTTACCGTTTGTTAAAAATATTCCAAAACTTAAATGCATGTCTACGTAATACTTGTGTATATTAACAAAGAACATTGCTTTCTCCAGCACTCTCATATATTTGTCTAAGTCAGTATCGGTGGGCAATTCATGAATGATCGCCACTTGTTTGTAAGTATATCTAGTTACGCGCGCTGCTAAAACACTCGTCACGAATACACTAATAATTAAAAAATCTAACCTTGTAATTTTAACACACAAACGCGATCTCTCTAATGTACCTGCCATGTTAATTCTTAACGAGTTGTTTTAATTTTGAAATGCCGATCAGAAATGGTTCCTTTCCCACAATATCATTGCTTTTATTTCCGTTACTTCATTATATGAAATATTTATGAAACACTTTCAATTGTGTTTCCAGTCATGTTTTATTTCTCTATAGACATTTTCCAAGGAATGTTGATATCTTGGAAAGAGAAATATTTGAATACGGATCAGTTTTATAGCGTAGAGATCATTTTTTATTAGTGTAATGATTATATAATTATGTACTAACGGGAATGAACAGCCTGTAACTAAGGCCAGTGCAAAATAGATGTTTTGCGATCGCGTAAATTCCTCTTTATGTACATAATTAGACATAACGAAATGCAAACATTTAGATATTTGTAAAACTCATAATTGTTTAATACATTATTTGAAAATAGGTATTGCACCGCATATATCTTTTGGAAGCGACTGGATGAGGATGTCAACTTAAGAGAAGACTGAAGTTGATTAGCTCAAAGTGATCAATTCTCAGGTTTACAACAACAACTTAACAACAGATTCATACGTATGTAATAATGTATTTTCTAAACTTTATGCACATAAAGAACTGAGGTGAACTTAATTTCAGAGGTATTATCTGTCAGCTAATTCTCGGCTGTAGCTGAGAAAATAAATAGTAAGTGCGTTAAATTTTAAATAACATAGTTTATTAAATCTAAAGCAATAATTACAAACACACTTTACGTAAATGTAGGATTTAGGATATACTTCTACTTAGAAGAGCCCACAAACTCAGAAACAGTAAAAAACTAAGAACGAATGTAGAAACGAAAGAAATAATAATCTAAGTGATATCTATAATATAATAATTATCTAAAATATATATATATATATATATATATATATATATATATATATATATATATATATATTATACATAACCGAAAAATAGGTAAAGCCGAATCAAGCCTGTAAAGTTTATTTCTTACTTAATTACGATGTATGTTGTGGATATTCGGCAACTCTCAGATTCCAGAGTCCTTTGTCAATAGACCAATCCACATGTCGCTTAGTTTTACACGAGACGTTAGAACGTTGCGTATCTATTTGTAATTATACAACATGATCTTTAGTAAATAAACTTTTACACGTAATGTAATTCTAAGTTAAAGTTTATTAGAGTATTCTAATCTGCTTTCTTTCTTGGCTTTAAATAGCAAGTACATTGAGTGTAATACCCACTTGTGAAACAATATGCAAGGACATCAGTCTATTTGATTAACTGCTGAAATAAAATTAATTATATACAGTAAAATTAATATCAATATAAATATCAACTTTATTAGCTTTAAGTTAATTTGCCGCTGACGTTTTTGCATTTTGGGTTATGTACGATTCTACACACCTGACGCTAAGAGTGACCGATTATTTCGTTCTTCATCATGGGGATCTCTAAACGTTGTTTTGCTATATACTATAAATATATATTTTGAGAACTTTCAAAATGAATGTTAAAGTTGACTTGGATTAAAATAACTCTTATTTTTTGCAGGTTTCAGTGGCTTACTGTGCTTCTGATTCATAAAATGCTCTAATTAGCTACCTTCCTCGTGTGCCATAAAGCGCTTAAAATAGTTAGTGGGGCTAAGTATAGCGTTACAAAAAAAACATCGCATTCTCTTACACGCCTAACAAGACCTAAAATATCAGATAAAGAAGAAGGCAGACACTGCCAATTTCGCATCATTTATTTAATTACAAGTTAATTTTGGTCGTTATTCGACCATAGAGGTAGAGAAATAACGTGTTTATTTTTGTTTGTGTAAAAATTCACTGGATGCCTGAAATAAATTTATGAATTCCAATGAGGTTGATCTACGTTTATTTATCCCGAAAATCTTATCAGTTTTGTTTCGTAATACATTTGTATATAAATTTAGCTGTATCTGTTTTGGTAGTGAATTCCGGAAGAATCTCAGAGACTTCCATTTTTTCTTTCATTTTACTTTTTACAGGAGTTTAGGTACCACAATAAAAAAAAAAGACCATTAAGATTGAAGACTTGATTTTCTTTTAATTAGATTGGTTTTTATAATGGTTTTTGAATATAGGGGTCTGGTTATCGTTTTCAAGTAAAGACGTAAATTTAATATGCAAAAATTTTAATAAAGAGAAAAGATATGTCTAAATAAAGTTTCGTCAAGTCGTCGTCGTGTCAAGCATATTTCATTTACTTATATATCGATATTAATAATTCAAAAGTAATTTTCTATAATAAACCTAATAGCTGCCGCAATCATAGATCCACCGACAGCAGTGGAGCGAGTGTGACATGACCCTCCGAATATCATATGATCGTGAACATGGTACTGCCAGCCAGTATTGTTGTCCACTTTTATGGCGCTATTGTTTCCATCCGTTCGCATCAGGTTGAAACATCCAGCTGCAGTTTGATAATCCAGAAGTTCTTCTATCCACGATCGGCGTAGGAACTGACCATGACCATCAAGGGCACATAGACTTACTAAAACAATAATACATGTTAAAATATAGTCGCATATGGAATTCCCATCTTATTTAAAGATAAGTTCATAACAAATTTGCAATAATTTTAATGGCACGGCTACTATGATATTTTACACCCACTTTTCTTCTGTTATTAATGTTCAGTCAGTCAGTATTGTAGGTTGTAGTGGGCGAATAAAATGCTGTCTACTAGGACTTTGGCTCTACAAAGAATTTCCTAACACACACACACATACACATACACACTCACACACACACACACACACACACACACATAAACTGGAGTCAAGAATCACATTTCTTAAGCAAGAATTCTCTACTTAAATAGAAAACCATTTGTATACAGACGTCTGGTCTGTGTTCTCTTATCTTTTTCGACTAAAAGCCTTTTAGCTCTACTTATGTTCACACTTTGTGCAGACAATAAATTATAGTTTAAAAAACCAAAAAACACGCTTTTATAACTAGACGAACCAAAAAGTAGAAAATAATTTTCGTGGTTCATCATAAAAATGCGTGGGGCGCTAGATCTTAATTGTTGTAAAAATATTTTATTGACAATAATAGGTACAATTAAAGTTATTATATTATAAAATATCTTGAAAAGCACCCTACGCTTTTTTAGGATTAACGACGAAAATTATTTTCCACTTTTTAGTTCGACTGGTTAAAAAAGCGTATTTAAACCATAATTAATTCTTTGCTTTTTTAGTAATTTATGATGATTATTTTCTCATTAAGACTAATAAAGTAATAAGTAAGTAAGTAACACATGCTTCAGCACACGCCTCTTAGTACATTGCAAAAGACACTAATAAAAAGCCGTTAATCCTTTAGGTCCTGATCAGGATAATCGGCCAAATTTATCAGATTATTGTATTATCATCGGTCCTTGATAAGTGTGCGAAGTTTCAAGTTAATTCGACGTTTTGAAGTGTATCAAAATCACGATCGAAGATTCCGTTACATAGATACATACCGAGCCAATAAAAGCGTGTTAAAAACAATTCTTACTTTGTTCCATGATTAAGTCTGGGAGTCCAAAATCATGATTCGCAATGAACTCGGCTTCATTGTACATCCTTGAGCACAGCTTGTCCAGTAATCGCTTGTCTTCTTTCACTGATGTCAAAACACATCTCCGTGAAAAACGAGCCGCCAACAAAAATAATACTCTGGAAATTATCACAAATTCGTACAAATTTTAAAATTTAAATTTTGTTTAACTACTAAAAGAGAACAAGCTGTAGTTATCTGTTTGATCATACATTATAGCACGGGACTAAACCTCCGTGGTTTTTTGTTGCTACCTAAATTAATTAGTTTTGTATGTACATTTTTATTTGAATAAATTAAAAAAAATCTTTGCCAAAATCTTTTTTTTTTAAAAAGAAGGTTGCCATATATTGACGATTCCTTGGAAAGCTACAAATTTTTATATGCCTCTCAACTGATAACGTTGCCGTGGAAAAGCCGTGCATCGGCACGTATGGGTTGGATCGACCGGAGTGATGCCAAGGCCTCACAGAAAACCCGACTCAAGTAATTCTTTCATTTTTTCCACCGAGTGAAGGTACCCGGAACCCATGCTAGTTGGCACGGATAGCGTAGTATTTAAGCGGTTGCCACGCCGTTCCACAAATTGTTATTCTGAGTCTGGGTGTTCTTTGTGTCTGTTTCATGATTTTTTTTATTTGTTTCAGAGTAAGGTTTTACAAATACATTACATTTATATGTATATATTATTATATATATAATAATAGGTTATAATAATAGTTAGCTATATGACTTAGGCTATAATTTATTGGAGTGTTGGCTGTTCTCCTAGATGGGCAACTAAGTTGCCTGTTTAGGAGTTACAGTTGCAGACCCTCAACTATGTCGGTAGTTATACCGACATAGTTGAGGGTCTGCAATACTGCCATGACTCGTAAGTATTGTGTACAGCAAGCCTATGTAGTTAAATAACAAAATAATGCTATGTATGAATGCGTATCTGTGTGCATATGTCATGTGCGTATCGTGCGTGTGCAAGTGTGTGTGTGTGCGTGTGTGTATGTGTGTGAATGTTTGTAAGGTCCCCTGCGAAACAGGATATATTCCTAGTTGTGTTTTTTAATAAAAAACAATCCCCTTGCCCTGAATCTGGAGGGAACTAAAGGGGCGGTAACTCACTTGTTACTCTTGAATAGCAGGTGTCCATGGGCGGAGAAGGTCATTTACCATTGGGTGACACGTCTGCTCGTTTGCCCGTCACGAAATAGATTGAGCACGAGGCGATAAATCAATATAGTTTATTTTAAAGCAGCCACGGAATATTGTACTCCAATACCTCACATTCAGTGTAACACTAAGTCTATTCTTACCTGTGTGTAATGCCATAGCCATAATGAACGCCATTGAGCACAAAATTAGCGCAAGAAAAGCGTACTTGACAGTGGATATTTCCCATGTTGTCGTTGACAGGATTTTGAGCTAACAGATTTAGACAATTATCTAAAACACAAAATCATTTTATTTAATCTTTATAAAGCAACCAGAGGATAGAAAAATATTATTTTTTGTTAAAGTATTGTTAAATTTGTATTGCTTAGGGAAAATTTAATCTGGAAGTTCGAAGTAAATATGACGAGTTTTTTTTTTGATAAGGTCCATGTACCTAGTATTTATCAGACTCATAAGTCATAGTCGAATGTCTGTATAAAATGGTTTATACAATCAAAATAAAAAGTTAACTGTTTCGAACAAAGTTCACAAATATATAATGTACTTATTACATATTTATAAAACAAACTGCTGTTATTTTTCATTTATACGCCGCCTACCGTTAGTTGTTGAGTTACTACGAGTATTATCACAAGCATCTCCATATTTTCTATTATTCCAGTATGTGAAGCATTTTTGTAGTAACGAGTCGGTACTACTCACTGTACCAGACAATTGCACAACCAGAGTCATAATATATAATATTAAATTCGCATTTCAAGACTTCATAATATTGTAAAGTCTCAAGTAAAATTTCCAACGAAGTATCAAATATAAAAACCTAAGTGATACCTAGATCATCTGGAGTCGGATTTTGCGAATCTTCTACACCGTACACATTTTTCAGATATAAACTCCACTTAAAGAACAAAGCTTCGAGTTTTTTTCTAGAGTAGTAATGTGTTTTCTTTAGCAAATCCATACTAAAATATGGCAGATTATTTGGCCATGTTGTCTCGTTAGTATAAAGATGAAACACTGAAACAATAGTAGTATTTAATTTAATATATAACCTTTTTTATCGAATCCTTAAACTATATAGTGCAAAGTGTTGCTACAAGTTTCAGTAATAAGTGTATTACTGAAACTTGTTATCCAATTAATTAATCTCGTAACAATATTATTAATGAACAACAGAGAATTAGTGCAATCCGTATCATCTATTGACTAATTTCACAATAATTTAAGTAATTAAAACAAATCAACATATTGAGGTAAGGTAAATATATTGTATTTACCACACATCAATATGTCTTTTTTTTATTAGAACTATAATCTATACAGAGTTTTACTGAAGTAACTATTCTTAATAACTATTATACATAGATGTTATATATATGTATATAACAAGAAACGGGTATTAATCTGTGCATCTAAGAAAATTGAAAAATGATATTTATACTTACAGCCAATGTGGCCTTTTTCTGTGTCAGTGTGTTTTTCTAGGTGTTTAACAGCTTTCTCTGCAAAGTAATCTATGATTTCATCATTTAACTTTATTAAGCGCTCCAAACGAACTTGTTTTCGGAGAGGTAAATTGCGTCCCTTCAACTGCACCGTTCTTCTTAAATTCACTAAAACAAAAGTATTTGTGCAGGTGCAGGATTCTGATAATCCAAAAGAAATATAACAATACTACCTGTCACTCAGTGGACATATGTATATGTCGCCGCGGAGTTTTGGAGGCGCCCGAAATTAATTAAATTGATTATTGTTATTAATTATTTTTGATTATAAATTTCACTCTCTAAAATCTAATTAGAATTTTTAGACAAGATTGTAATTCATAATACTGTATTAACGTGAAGTTTTAATTTTGGTGAGTTAATTTGATGCAAGTCTTTGTGAGTACTTTCAATGTAAGTTGTTTTTACTATTTTAAATGTTTTGATTGCTTTAGACTATCAGAACTTATTTGTAATATTGTTTAAATAATTAAGGCTTGATTTGGAATTCTTAATATGGTTATTTGTGGTAAATTTAATATTACGAAAATACGTTAGCGCCATCTGCCTCCGTTTTGACGCGCAACTAGACGTTGCCGCCAGAGTGGCGGCAGGTGGGCTTGAAAAACATTATTGAGAGGGAGTCTGTGACGGATTTTGAGCGGGAAAACAAGTGAGTGTTGAACCTTTGTCCAATTTCTCCCCGAATTCCAAATCAAATTAGTGTCTTGCTATTATTTCGATAGTTATTGAGTTAAAGTCAATTTGTTAAGAAATAGTGTTGAAAAATAGTTATTTAAATGTTGAGTATTAACTTTCTAAGTTTTTCTAGTTGAAGTAAATGAAATTGTAATAATGTTTGACTGTTGAAAAAGAAAACCTTATGAGTTTCTTGTCTGTTCTTCTCATAATGGTAATTCCTTAGCGAACAGACGTAATTTCACCTACCCCCCAAACATTACTGAAATAACTATTAAAAACAAGTCAACTCCTTAACTGTTTTATGTTTCATTTAATCGTTATTACCTTCTTAGCTTAAATAAAGACTGTAGAGCCTTGACCTTTATAAAGGTCAACGGTTTTACATTACTTTTTAAATCGAACCCAAATTCTGTTTCGATATATATGTGTTTAGGTTTTATGTACAGAAACACTCACTCGCTTTCAAAACAACTCTACCTATATCGTCGGAGAATAGAAACAAGACGCGAAGTTGTTTAAAAATAAAAAGTCTTCATGCAGACCTTCGAAAACCAAATATAAAATATTATTTAGTTTTTAGGATAGAAGAGTGAAAACAAAATACTGTTTCAGCAAACCATTCTCAAGATCCATGCACCTGTTTTTAATAATAGATATTTAAACTAAAGAAATACTTTTCTCACAACTTTTAACTCTTTGTTCGACTAACTCTTTTGAACGGTGCTTAAAAAATATTGTGATGATAAATATATAACGAACTAATAATATGATCAATACAATAAGTTAGTGAATCAAATCTTATTTCCTTTTGCGGTTCATTCCTTTTTAAGATATAATATATATATCTTAAAAAGGAATATCTTTCTGCCCAAACTAAGCAATATGTTAAGCTAATAAAAAGTAAACATTAAATTAAAATTAAAATAAACATTACTCTAGTAGTACCAGGTGTGCTCAAAAAGATAATCCTCTGAATCCAATCCAATGCAATGGGATGTGATAACATTAACCGTCGCATGATCATTCCCATTCTCGGTCACATTCTTCCCGTGCTTACGCATATAATAAATTTGTCTCTTGACTCGGGGATGTACATTTCATTGTTTTGATCAAGATCTCCTCAAGATCCCGAATCCTACACTCCTGAATCACCTACGACCAATCTCCATTCTTCCCATTCTATCGACAGTCTTCGAGGTGTGTGTGAACCAACAACTTTACCAACATATTTACCGCAACAACTTACTAAGCGCTTTCCAATCGGGGTTCAAGTCCGGGCATAGCACAACTTGCGCTCTGCTTAAAGTAACCGATGATAGCCGAGCAGGTATTGATGTAAAGCTGAATCTAAAGCTACTGTGTTGGCTTTGGTTGATTTCTCAAGTGCATTCAATACCAGTCGGGTTGGTGGCCCGACCACCCCGACCAACCCGACTGGCCAGCGTGGTATAGTAGGCCAAAACCTCCTTTCTAAGGAGAGGCCTATGTCCAGCAGTGGACTAGTAATGGCTGTTGATGATGATGATGATGATTCAATACCATCAGTCACGATTTCCTTCTATCTACCCTTTGCTATCTTATGATTACACCTGATACACTGGAATTGTTTTTGTCATATCTCCAGTCTGTCCCCGTCGATGTAGCCTCCTCAAGTTGAACTTGATACCACAGTCAAGTTCACGCCAATTTGAGGAGGTGGCATTCTCTCTCCTTTATTATTCTCAAAAATTATCAATCTCATCACTCTGAATCTTCAATTTACGTACCATCTTTTATGCCGATTACTTGCAGCTCTATTATCAAGCCTCGACAGACGACATAAACGAAGGTGTTTTTATGGTTAACAATGGCTTGGAGGCTATTAACGGTTGGGCTTGATAGGTTCGTATTGGCTGTAATACCAGCGAAGTGCCAATCTATCATCATAGGCAGTCAACGTATGACTGAAAGAATAGACCAAGATAAACTGCTACCCATTACTTTTAACGGCGTTATAATTCCCTTTAGTCCCTCTGTTAAGAACCTCGGCATATACATCGACTCCAAACTCAGTTGGCAAACCCAGGTCACCAGCGTTAGCCACAGAGTTACAGGTACGCAACGGGCCTTCTTTCAACTTAGGAACTTCTTTCCTTCCGAGACAAAACCAATTAGACCCTAACTGTTCCAATCCTGGACACCCCAGCACATTCATACAGTTTCATATTTTATTTGTATATATTTATGTATGCCTATCCCACTGTTTCTGTCTATCTCCTCAATTGAATATAATTATTATCTTTTTAAACCAAAATTAAATTTCTAGTGGACCTAATTAGAGATTTCCCTACCACCCAAAGGTTGACTGGGAGAAAAAGCCTGTGGCATTAAGTCCGCCATAGTGCAAGTGAGTTATAATTTGTGCATAAATAATTAAATAAAAAAGAAATCAAAAATCATAAAAAAAGTTTGGTGTTGAGGTTTCAGATTTCCGTCAACAGCCAGTTCGAATTACAGGTGTGTGAAATCCGATCTACTCGAGCTATTGCACGCACTTCCCAATCCAGCATCCCAACAATTCCCTTGTGAGCCATATCAAATTGCCTATTATCTTCTCCTCTTACTTACTTTTCATTATCTTCCCAACTTTTACACCTACTTGCTAAAGTTATCGGTTGACAGTAACAAGCTAGGCCCTATTTCATAAGTGGGACATAACATTCATGAAACGGACACAAAGAACACCTAGACTCAGAACAACAATTTGTAGATCACACAAAGTGTTGTCCCATGTGGGGATCGTACCCACAACACTCAGCACAGTAGAAACCGGCGAATTGATCGCTTAAACCACTACGCCATCCGTGCAGTCAGATTTACACATGAGAGTATAACAAGAAGTAGTTAAGAAAGTGTGTGTAAAACACATTGGCTCACTCATCATTCAAATCAAAGATGATAGAACACAACAACAAGAATATCAGAAATGATAGAAAGAAATTTGTCACGACCCGAACATCAGCTGGCGTCTCTTCAACATTCATCACACATTTCACACAAGCTCGTCCGTTACCAGTGCTCTTATTGGGACTCTACTTCAGCATACTATCGATCTAGTTAGTATATGTATTATGCGGCCTACCCGTAGCTCGTCTATTTACAGGGGCTAACTAATCCCTCCAATACCACTACCACTGTAACTCCTGTAAACCAGAATCAACATCAGTGACCCACGTACACAACGAGTTATGAAACATTCGGGAAGTCCAGAAAAAATTAAACTGTCTTGGACAACCCGCAACTGGGGGTTGGGTGTTGAAGGTGTTGGAAATATTTAACAGGGACTTTATGAATTCCTTTTTTTAATTGGGGACACACTGTATAATTAACCAGCCTAACCAAAATTAGGCACAGCCTTTTTTTTTTTTTTTTAACGTGTGGAAATCCCCTCGTACCGTCACCCCGCCGGGTGCTCTCGTTCGGCGGGGCGGTGTGTCGGACTCGAACCGACTAAAACCACACGGTGTGCCCTCTTTGCGCTTCCAGTTTAGGAGGGGTCCAGGTAGTTATCGCCTTCTGGACCCCTCCCAGCGCCGGCCCGCTCCTGTTGCGGGCTTCGTCTCAAAACTTTCCTCTCTTTAGGCGACGTCCGGCACACGCGGACGCCGCCCCCTCGTGGCTGGCCAACTAATGCGGGTGGAGGGGAGAACCCATCCTGTCCACCCGCGGCCACACTCAGGGCGGCATGAGGCGCAGGTAAGCGCGCCTCCGCCACCCGGTTCGCCGGCGGCGGATCAGGTCCGAGTGGAGGTCGTCCTCCCGGGCCTTCTCCGCCGCCTCCTTCTGCGAGATTACCTCCTCGCAGAAGGTTGCGACCGCGGTAAAACAACTGTCGCTACCGGCCATGGACCGAATTACGGCCGGTAGCGAGAGATCTGCTCCGATGACTGCAGGGGCAAACCGCCAGCGTGTGCTGGGCCGGATCCTCACTGCAGTCGCAGTGGTGGCAGGCGGGACTCGATTCCCTCCTAGCGACCGAGTACAGGTACTTTCCGAAGCAACCGTGCCCGGAAAGCACCTGCGTTAGCCGGAAGGAAAGGGTCCCGTGCAGCCGCCCTGCCCACTCGGCGATGACCGGCTGGAGAGCCTCCACGGCGGCGAAGCCAGCGCGTGGAGTCTCCAGCCGGAACGACCATCTGACCATGGTGGCTTGGCGAGCGGCTTCGCGCCATTCGCGCACGTCTTCGGGCGGAGGGCGAAATCCGCTCTCCGCCCGGAAGTCAGCCACTCGCCGATAAACTTCGGCGAGCACTGCCGCCTCCAAATCCCACGGGGGTGTTCCGGCCAAGGCGCAAGCCGCCTCGGTGGACACCGTGCGGTATCCGCGTATGGCTCTGACCGCCAATATTCTTTGGGGGCGCCAGAGGCGTGCCCTGTTCGGGGCGGTCAGAGCCGCCACCCACACCGGTGCACCATACAGCGCCATGGACCGAACAACCCCCGCGTACAGCCGCCTCGTGGGAACACTGGCCCCGCCCAAATTGGGCAAAAGTCGCTTTAGGGCGGAGGCAGTGTCCACCAGCTTCGGACCAAACTGTCGGAAGTGCTCGTCGAAGAGCCACCTACCGTCTAGGACCAGACCCAGGTACCTCATCTGGGCCCGGACCGGTACAAGGACCGAGCCGACCTCGATTGAGGCGCCGGCGGGTGGACCACGACGGGGCCCATGAAATAATAGGGCCTCCGTCTTATCCAGGGCTACCCGCAAACCCAACGCCTCAATGCGCCCGACCACCAGGGAAACTCCCGTGGCGGCCAGGCGCGCCTCCTCCTGGAAGTTAGCCCCCCGGCCGTGACTAAAGTGTCATCTGCGTAGCAGAGTACACCCAGCCCGGGGGGGAGACGCCCTCGTGGGGCCCAGTCGTATCCAATGTTCCACAGGAGTGGTCCTAGGACAAACCCCTGCGGAACACCGCACGACATGGCCCTGCGTCTCAAGACGCCATCACAGTCCTCGTACATGACGTTTCGCTCCTCAAGATAGTCTGCCACCAGCCGCCTCAGGTACTCCGGCACTCCGTGGTAGCGGAGCGCTTCCCTGATGCAGCTGAATGGCAGACTATTAAAGGCGTTGGCGATGTCCAAGGACACCGCCATCACCACTCCGCCGCAGCTCACGGCCTCCTCAGTCACGGCCCTAAGGCGCATTACGGCATCGATCGTCGAACGCCCCTCTCGGAAACCGAATTGGGCGTCCGACAGATCGGGGCGAACCTCGCTAAGGTGCCATACGATGCGGGCAGAGAGTACCCTCTCAAAAAGTTTACCCGCCTCGTCCAGAAAATTAAGGACAGCCTGTACTAAGGTAACCCAAGGTAATAGAGATGATTCGCATGGAAGCACAATAAAAATACTAACTGTATTAATATAATTAATACAGTTAGTATTTTTCTTCTCTTAAGTAATATAATAAAAAAGCTTATGAGCTCTGATTGCTATGAATTGTATTTCTTATTCTTTAAAGCAAGTTCATTATTTAGGTGAAATGTCGAAGTGTTCGAGTACCAAATTTACACGAAAACATATTAAGTAATACAAGCCGATTTCTTGCAAACTACAATTTATAAAGTTATAGAAATTCATAGTACTATAGTACATATGCATGTTATATGACTATTAAAAAGCTTATCATTAAATTATGTCTTACCGTTGATTAAATATATGCCAAAACATACATTCAAGTCCGCAAGATTTTTATGAAGACTTACAAAATTTACTGTCTTTTCCAATACAGTCAAATATTGTTCCAGATTCATTTTCATCGGCAAATCGTCAATTATCTCCATTTCCTTATAATTATAAGTTGTTTCCAATGACAACGTGATGCTCATAAATAATACAATAATGTTAAAAGCCTTTGAGTTCGTGACTGCCCGCGGCCAAAACACTTCAAATGAACATGACATTTTAAATTTGGGAGCGTTATCTTGTATTTACTTTACAGTGGAGATGCTTCTACGCCTTAGTTCAGATCAAAACTGATCACAGTACCCTCGCTACAATTGTTTTTATTTACACCAAGATAATTTAAACACCGAATACTAAACAAAACATTGTTATTGTATTATTTGATTCGTTTGTCAAGGGGCTAATTCCATTATTATTATTTGAAATAGTTACGATTTAAACAATCGAAGGTATTTCAGAACTTCTAAATAACATTTTATGAAACTACTATTTTCTTAAAGAACAATTATAATTATAATTCAAGATTCAGACAGGTGTGACCTTACTGCAGGCGTGCCCCAAGGTGGCGTACTATCTCCTCTACTCTTCTCCATTTTCATTAATGAAATCACCAAATTTATTTCTTCTCGTTATCATCTCTATGCAGACGATTTGCAGCTATACCGTCATTTCAAGGCTGATAAAATCACTGCCATCATTAACGATCTGGAGAACAGTTGTTACCTATTCGGCGGCGTCGAGATCTCCACATTCTTTCCTTACTCTATTCAACTTTATACAACCCCACTTGTAGTTCATATCTCCGTGAGCGCTGTGAGCACTTTGTTACCAGGAACAATGTCGCTCTTCTTCTTCTCTCCTCCTTCGAACTCCCTCCCACACTTCGAGTCGTTATAATATATTTTACTATCCTAATTGATGTCGGTATTTGTTTAATTTTTATGCTTTTCTGTGTTGATTCCTAAGTACGCATGACTGTGCCTTTACGTTTCTCTGTTATCCTCTATTCGCTCAAGGTTTGCTGGAAGAAAACTCAGTTTTGGGTTAAGCTCGCTTTTGTACATGACATTTCCTTGTTACTTATATATATGTATGTGTTCAGTGTGTACAATAAAGAATAAATAAATAAATATAATCAATAAATAAATATTTCGGACATTGGACACACAGCGCCATCTAGTTTCAAACTAAGCAGAGCTTGTAGTATGAAAGCTAGATTGACTGATAGAATACTTATTTACATTGCTTTGTAAATACACATATTATACATAGAGAACACCCAAACTCCGAAACAAATATTTGCAGATTATACAAACATTTGGTTCGACCCGGGAACCGAACCCGAAACCTCAGCACTGTAGTGGCACACGATTCCAATGCGCCACTGAGGTAGTAAATAATTACGAAGCAGTTTACAAAGAGTAATAAACACTTTGAATTGACATAAAACCTTCATGGTGTGAGATTTTCTTGTGAAACTTTGTTCACGTGATACCTATGAAGTACTACATTATTTTTTTACTTATTATAACCATACGAGTAACACAGGCTACTTTTTACCGTGGAGCAGCGGGCAAAAGCCAGTATAAAATGTGTAAAAGCTTATATTTAAATCAAAACTTTCAAATTCTCCTTGTTATTAATAAGGAGAATTTTAAAGTTTTGCCGAATAATTAATGTCTATAAATAAAAACAATAACATCTTGAGATACCTCACACATGGTCGTTAAATTTCAATCTAGGTAGTTCCTATATTAAACATACCAGACCAGGATCCAGACACACAGTCCTGGGTGACATTTCAAACAGGATCACCACTATCAACACCATATCAACAGTCCCATCGTTTGAAATAGGTTTACCAGTGGCCGCAGACCGTGCTCACTATGTTCAGCTGAATTTCGCCTTTACCTAGTTTATTTTAATAAGTTGGTGGTCTTGACTGCTAGTCCAGAGGACATGGGTTCGATTCCCTTCATCAAAATCATCTCAGCCGAAAGACGTCCACTGCTTGACATAGAGCTCCCCTTTTCGAGTACGCTCTGGAGGCCCTCTGTTGGTCTAGTGGTTAGTGATCCCGACTGCTAAGCCAGAGGTACAAAAAAATACGATGTGTTCATAGGTTCAATTCCCACTCAAAATCAATAATTGTGTGATGAGCACTATATTTACGATATTGGAATCAGACTGCCATGTGTGAGATGCGTGAAGTTATTATTATTTTTACTTGTATTCCTCCTTCTTTCCTTTCTAAAAAGCTAAAAGCCTCTATGGACATTCGAACGTTTCTCGAAAAATCATTGATGAACTTGTGGGAGGTCTACTCGTATGTCCAGCAGTGGACGTCTTACGGCTGAGAAGAAAAAATGAACTGATTTTAAGCAAATTCATATTTGTCTGTCCGACATGCAGTGTATAGACATGTAACTTTACATAACTTTTAGCAAGTCATAGCGTTTTGTCTGTAATAATATTATACAGCTGAAGAGTTTGTTTGTTTGTTTGCTTGCTAATCCTGAGATTTGGAAGCAAAGCAGCAGTTCCTGAGAACTACTTTGAAATAGTCTTTCAGTGTTAGATAGCCCATTTATCGAGGAAGGCTATAGGTTATAAATCATCAAGCTAAAACAAATAGGAGCGGAGCACCAATGAATAATGTTTCAATGTTTTTCCTTTTAAGAGCTTTAGCTGTGTGCGCTGCGTAAACGGAAATAGCTCCTTAACATACATATTATTTAAAAATATTGTCACCTTCTACGTAAACGAAGTCTCGGGATTAAGTTAGCGTTAGCCCAAAGTAACTATTCCACGCGGACGAAGTCGCGGGCAGAAGCTAGTCTGGAATAAGATGAAGCAGTATCGGTGGCTCAAGCCTCTAAATGCCTACTACTGTAGGATCGACAGCAGTGATCCACGAATACACCGAGTTATGACACTCGAGAAGTCCCAGGAAAAAAATTAAAAGTCTGATTAAAATGAAAATTGGAGGAGTTGGAAATATAATAAATTCACTTCCCTCTTTAGCAAAGCGGGAGACAAAATAAAGTAAAATAGGCATATACTATTTATAAACAGGGTAACACCACCGCCACAAAATATTATGGGTCCTAAGCTATATTTGATTTCTGTAATATGTATGGCAGAATCGCCAGAACCTGTAAGCTGTAAGCCTGTGTAGGTGTCACCTGTAACCTTTTTAGATTTTTCTTACGTTTAGTATACCAAAAACTACATTCCCAGAGGATATGATGAGCAGACTGTGCACAGTTAGAGTAAGATGTTGAGCATTGACACAATGGTGACTGGACTAATTTACATTAATACTGTTTGTTCTCAAAGTTGCCATGACCTGTAAGAAATTGAATGCACAGTAATCTACCTCAAGTTCTTGATAACCGTTCGTGAACAGATGGAAAGAACTAGGAAAGGTGGCGCCCCTTAGACGATTGGTCCCAGCGTTGTTGCCATTCGTCTATGAGGTCGTTACGAGTATAAACATCGGACTGCTGTTGAAGTAATCTTGTGATTTTATCCTATGCCTTTACTTATAACAGATCTTTCTTTTGTAACTCTGGTAGCTACCAAAGCAAATAGTGGGAAAAACTAACATTTTACTAGAACTGTTCAACCCACACCGAAAACCCAGTAAAGTAAAAGTATTAACTGTTCAAATTTAAAAGACGACTGAAAATTCGATTCCTGAAATCTTTACATATGTAGTATAAAATAAAGTCGCTTCTTTGTGTTGTACACTTAGATCTTTTAAACTAAGCAACACATTTTAATGCAGTCCCCAATAGAGAGAGTGATTCAAGAGAAAGGTTTATGTGTATAATACATGCATTTTATAACAAAGCCGAGAATTTAAAAGATTTGTCTTAAAAAACATGGTTTTGGGCAAGACATTGCAAGCGCTGGCTAATAGTCAAAAAGTCCGCGATAGTATATGTCTATATCCTAAGGATAACCCACATTAACGTTTTTTAACTTTAAATATTACAAAAAATAATGGGTTATTTACGAAGCTATTTTAGACAGTACATTATTATGCATTATCAAATTAAAGACGTTAGATACGTCGTGCATTTAATGTAGCTTAAAATTGCTCTTTAGAGCATATCATTAAAATATATATTATTCTAGAAGATATTAGAGATTTAAAATGCGGGGTGAAGCGGCCGTCGTCGCTTCGTGTCGTACGTCCGTCGCTGGTACTATCGGATTAAGCCTACAAATATATTGCATATAAAGATGTCCTATCATAATAACAGTATAATTAATTACTCCACACTGACACGACGTTAGTAGTATTTGTAGTATCTACATTTGCACAGGGCAAAGCCGGGGCAGATCGCTAGTAGTAAATAAAATTCCAAAATGACTTTCAAAGTATTTTATGGTACAACAATGTTTTATCCCTTCCGTAACATTTTATTCATTAAACTACATTAAACATTTGCTATATTAAAACTATATTAAAACTTTATTTACACTATATACCTCATGGCAATAAAAATCACAATAGCCATAAAAAAATACCTATCTATATCCCTATATAAGAATTGCATCGGGTTTTTTCAAACACACGGTAAATAAAAAAGTTGCCATATATATAATAACACCAACATACTTATGGACTTGCTGTTATCACTATAAGCAAATAAAGACATAACAATTTTAACAGGAGATAACAGAAACATCAACATAACATAAATATAACAAATAATTTGTATAATATTGGTAGATCCACCAATTTCTCTCATATCAAATCATAGTCTTTACAAACGTAAGATATTTCCTAACAAACCAACTAATAATCTCTACTCGTGGAAACCACTATCACAAAAACAAAATTTATCTAAAGATCCTAGGAACTAGACAAAAAAATATTTTATCTAATATCCAAGAGCTATTTTTTAATTATTTAATCTAAGAGTCAATCGACCTGTATTTTTTTTGTAAATAATGTTCTTTAATAAAAATTCTCTATAATAAATCTAAGAACTGATGCCAACATGGAACCCGCAACGGCCGTCGTGTGCGAATTGCAAGAACCTTCCCAAATTTTTAAATCTAATCTTAAAAACACCCAAGTTATGTTTTTCGGAAGCTTAGGCATGACTGTGCCATCACTCGGTCTGGAGACATTGAAACATCCAACTTCAGTTTGAAAATCCAGGAGAGAATCAAGCCACGACCGTCGCATAAACTGAGTGTGACCCTCTAGGCTACACAGAGACACTGAAAAAATACAAAACATAATATCATTATAAAATAAAAAGTAAGCTAGCCTCGCATAGTAGTCGTGAAGGATGTGTAAAATCTCTAATTTTAATTAATAATAATTATTATATTTTATATTTATATTACATTTATATTTTTTTACTTATTATAACCATACAAGCAAAACTTGTATTATGAATACAAAAGGAATTTCGTTTCTTTAATTTTTTGTTTCAACCAATTATTATAGTTTTATGCCTTAACTATCCTCTAAAGAAATTTTGTTCACATGTTGCTATGGGTACGAGTAGCATAAAGGGTAGCTTTCATTAAAAAAAGTAGTAAAAGTACAACAATCCGTGATTAATACTAAGATTTATAGTTTTGCAAAGACTTTTAAGTATAATAATAAATTCTTAAAAAAAGATTATTACACTTAATACTAAAGCATCATTATCTATAGCAATTTATTGACGATAACTTTATTATTAATAAATATTAAAAAGGATTAGATACTTTTCTATAGAATTTCATTCAAATTTAAAGTAATTATCAATAAATGAACTTACTGTGTTCCATAACAACATCCGGTAGACCCAAGTCATGATTCGCAATGTACTCAATTTCGTTGTACGTTTTCGCACATAAGGTATCTATAAAATCCTTGTCGTTTTCAGCGGGCAAAACAACGCAGCCGCGCCAATGGCGAGCCGCTAACAAAAACAGTAATCTGGAAATTAACAAAAAATGTAAGCCAGCAGCGTAATATACTACGTAAATAATCATAACAAACATGAACTACGAAGAAAAACTACGTAAAAAAATACAATGTAGTTTTAGGGTACGTAGTGCACTGTGCCGTGTTTGTAGAGGCAGCAAGAATGTAAGTATTTCTAACTTATTGTTTAAAAGGGCGTGATATCCACAGTGAGAATATTATTTTATAAAATAGAATTTTCTCTAGTTGCCAAGAGAACATTATATTTTTAAAAATATAATCTTCAATCAAGATTATATTTATATAAATTTATCCAATAGCAATAATTTAATAAGTAAACATTTAAAAAGTTGTCGACGGTAAAAGAGAACTTTCTTAACAACTTTTGTTGGTAACAACACTAGTTTTTTGTAACAATAGAGATTTACACTTATTTGAAACTTAAAATATTGACCTGTTTGAGATTGTCCATATAAAAAACTTTTACTGAAATGATTGTATATATAACTATCAATTATATTTATACAAACACTGAAGTGTAGTCATTTGTTAGTGTGACAAAGGTTTGTTTGTATTATAAAGATTACGCAATAAGCCCATGTCTATTTGGTAAAAGAACAATGGTGTGGATACGCAGTATATAATCTTTCTATGTTTGTCAGCCTACTAATGTATATAATGATTGTTTTAAACTAAAATATTGAGTAAAAGTTAAGCACAATCATAATAACAATAGACAGGGTCATTGCTAAAAATTTAAGCAACTAGATCCGATGCAAATCCGATATCCCAATGATATATAATTTTTAATATTCTGAGGCCATTTAATGCAATGAAAAGCAGTAGTAGTATTGAGTTGCCTCTTAAAGGGTTTTGAACTTCAAACATCCGTAAATCTATTAAAAGTAGAATATCTACAGTAATTTTAAAAAATTGAAGCCTTTTTATTTTTTGTTACTTTGTTTAAACGCAATAATCTCTGGAACTATCAGCCAGAATTATTAAATCTTTTATATTGGATTTAGTATTTATTAAAGAACAATATAGGCTAACAAAACATAAGTCCTTAGGTGCTCCTAAGGACTTATGTTTTGATAGCCTATCAAAATAATAGAGCGGTCTCAATAAATGAAGGTTGCGGTTAGAAAAATATGAAATTTTGTTTTTACCTTCGATTTATTCCATAGGCACGGTTAACGCCGTGTGATACTTTTTCAATACAATCATATGGTACGTGACAATGACTCCAAGCATTATTTGGATTGATAGGATTTTGCGCTAGCAGCTTCAAACAATGATCTAAAACAAATAAAAATACATTGCAATAAACAGCAACATTATATTGTATCAGGTCAGAAAACTTCTAGAAAACGAGTATTTTGCTTTTAAATTAAAATAATTTCAATAAAATAGTAATAACATGGCACATTTCACACAATGCTGTCTGATCCGAAATAAGACAGAGCTTATATTATGGTAACCAGAACCAAATAGATAAATTATACACACAGAACAAATGACTGCAGGGATGGTTGTGGATTAAGCGGTCACCACGCCGCTTCCTACTACGCCGAATGTTGTGGGTTCAAACCCCACATGGGACGACACTTTGTGTGATCCAAAAATTGTTGTTCTGAGTCTGGGTGTTCTTTGTGTCCGTTTTATGTATGTTTGTAAAGTCCCACGCGACACAAAATATATTCCTAATGCAGGAGTTAAGAAAATGACTGTGATCATCATAACATTAATGGTCCTGGGTAGAAACCTATGCCTTAGCAGCCAGGATCACTAACCCATACCACTGCAAATAAAGCAATAACATAATATAAAATCACTTAGTAATAAATCCTACCTGTTTCTTCTGGAGTTGGACTGCCAGTAGAATGTATCATGCCTTTCATGTAGTCAGACCACCTTTGATATAAATCCTCTAAACGTTTCCTCGAGTAAAATTTGGTTTTCTTCAACAAATCAATGTTAAACTTTCTCATACGTTTTGGCCATGATGACTTCCCGGTGTATAAATGTAATACTGTAGAGTAATAAATATAGATTATAAGAATACATACTACCTATGACTACAACTTTGTAAGTACAAGACAAAATCATCGGAAGTTTTTAGGTAGCTGCAATTAACTAATTTTAAATAATAAAGGTTCAAATTTCTTTGCTTGAGTGTTTTAAATACGGTATTTGTTACAGAGCGTATAAGAGACCTTAACATATGTGAAGGTTAACTATAGGTGAAACCACTAGAGATGGTATACATAGCAGAAGTAATAATTTTAACGCGACCGGAACCAAAAAAGCTTACTGTTATAATTAACAAACATAATTAGTCAATAAATACAAAAATAGACGAAGAAAAAAGTATTGAGAGTATCGCAAGATTCGCAAGCTTTGTTTATACAGCAATAATTTTACCCACTATTATTTGAAAACAAAAAACTAACATTACTCACCAGCCTTTTTTATTAACCAATTTTTTTAATAAGCTGATCAAGAATATTAACTAAATAATAAACGATTTAAGTTTTAAGTCTTAGACAAATATATCTATTACTAAAAATAATTCAATAGTATACTTACTGCCCATAGGTAAATCATGATTTATTTGAAGTTGTTGCTCTAAATGTTCTTGAGTCATTTTTGAAAAATAACCGATAATATTGTCATTTGTCTTCACGAGGTTGTCCAAACGCACTTGTTTGTGAAATGGTAACAAGTGGCCTTTCTGTTTTACTATATTCTTCAAATTCACTACAAAAAAAAGTTACATTATTTCGATATCATTAATATAAGATGCCTGTTTCAATATTCAGACTATAAACTAGCAACTTGTGTAGTATTTTTATCATATATGAATTAATATTCCGAAAATATTTGAATCATAAACGCATTTCCAATCTGTATTGGGTAAAATGCTGTCTTTTTTAAATTTAATTTATTTTTAAGTAGTCTATTATTAGAAGTATTTTTAGGTTAGCTTACCGTTAACCAAATATATCCCTAAACATAGATTCAAATCTACGTAAAACTTATTTGCCTCAGCAAAGTATACTATTTTTTCTAACGCCGACAAATATTTTTCTAGATCACTTTTCACTGGTAAGTCGTCGATAATTTCCATCACCTTATAAGTATAAGATAACACACGAGGCGATGCAACATCTAACATAACAATTATTAAAAAAGTACTTGGTAATGAGACTAGTTTATTTAATTTAGACGCCATGATTAAAATTAATAAAAAAATAATAAAGAAACGTTTCAACGCCTGATCTCAGAAGAAATTGTTAGCTTCTTGTCAACGCAATTGTTTTTATCTACAGTTCTCTTCAATAAACAAAAGTAGAAATCATGGCATTGTATTTGTACTAGCAGGGGCCGTGGAAGAGCTCCGGCCAAGTTGAGAAAAGAAATATATACGAGACATCTGACTGGTCTTACTGATAATTTCCATCAAAAATAGATGTACGTTCTTAAATTTAATGTGATGAGCTAACATGTAGGTAAGTAATCGCTCTGCTATTACTATAAGTACTCAAAAACTACTCACTAAAATTAAAAGAAAACCGAACGTATGGTGGGTAACTCTTTAAGCATAGCATCGACTTTGCGTCTGTGTATTATTTGCATATACAGATTGCATATAAAACGAATCGTAAAACGTATTAGGTTTAAAAAGAATATTTAGAAACATATTTCAAGTTTCAGTAAGTGAAAATAGCGTTTTATGCGGGGAATCGTATTAACATTTTTTGTTTTCGCCGTGGAAAATTCTTACGGATCTCCTGATCCTCGGAGTTTAGGAGCCAGGAGTATGTGGTGATTCCACTAAAAACCACCCCGACAGGCCTCAGGCCTCGAGTATTTTGGGATTCCCCGGACCATGTTATTTCAGTTCCTGCCCGAATTAACACCATACCTAATCCAGGTCGAAATACTCTCAATTGCGTCTTATTGCAATCAGGCCACCATCCTATTTATTGTACCTATATTTATGTTATTCAAAGTAACTATGAACTCCTAAGTAAGCTATACTAATACTAACCATACCTGAAAGACATGAACAGCGTTTTATATCACGAGACTTGGTCTAACTTTTTCTTTTTTTAATATTAATGGATTTATAAAACAAATACATATATAATAAGAATTGATAAAAGACTTCATATGAGTACAAGTGAATACATATTTATCTTTTTACAAAAGAGTTGTTTAATACTTAAATTCAATCGATGTACTCATCTTCATTTTACCAACTAACCAAATTAAACAAGGTGAATGTAGTAAGCCAAAGGGATTGATTTTATACTTTTTCGCTACTAACTGTGGTCTGCGATTTTGTCAGCGCAAAATAAATCCTTATGGTATTCTATTTTTTGTTCTGACTTTTTATAATTAGATATTAATTAGGTAATAATAAATATGCAATTTTTTTGCGACACTTGCGACTTGAATGAAATAAATAAATAAGAAGCATAACTTTCATTATGCATATCATCATCATCATCATCATCAACCTTTAATAGTCCCCTGCTGGACATAGGCCTCTCCTTAGAAAGGAGGTTGTTGGCCTACTATATCACGCTGGCCAGACGGGTTGGAATAGGCTTTGTTTAAAGTTTTCCTTCTCTTTGCAGTATGGTTCTCCTACGTAGTTTGCTCCCTTAATCGGCTTTTACGATACCCACGGGATCAAATGGGGGTAGTGACACTCTGTATTCTTAATCCGTCATCATATAGATAATGCATTATGTCATGCTGTCATTTAGTGTGTGTAATAGGTGATGTCCCTGAAATCTTAAAAGGTTTGGCTATCTGTTTAACTACAGTCGACGGAGTATAGGCGTGTTTCTGGTGTTCTGCTTCAGAGAGGCACGTGAGATGTATCGTGTCCATTTCTGCTACCATCTGGGACTGGGGACTGAATTTTACTTTGTAGCACATGGTGTGTCTTGTGGCACGGTGAAAAACCGGAGAGCACTCAATCTTTCTATATACCTGCTCTTTACTACTTACTCTTTAGCGAGCATAATGAGGCGAGAGTCATAAAGTTATAATAATAATAATAATAATAATAATAATATACTAATAATAATAATATACTAGCAACACTTACCTACATCAGTCGGAATTTCTTCACATTTTTGAAATAAACAAGTTTTCTATACATTTACAATCCCGTACAATAATTAAAAACTATAAAACTGTAATAAAATGGATCTTTTTTATAAAAATACAATACAAAATCGTTTAAAATAAATAATATACATAGATATATGTTTATAGTACGACATGACGTTTAACGTCATGTCAAAATACAAATAAATATTCATAATGAAAGAAATTCGACTGGAAAATGTTAACCCGAGCTAGATCCAGAGCACTGACAACATCCCCGGACTCGTCGCTCCGCTCCGTCTTGCCGTCCCCGGAAGCTACAACAGAAGTTCCGGCCGTGGCTGAGGCGTTGAGCTCAACTTCAAGCGACGAGTTTTTCTCTCCGCCGACGTCGCCAACACCTGTACGTCGGCAGGGGAGAGGCCGGCCACCGACCAGCTTGGGATCCCGAGGACTACTGACCTCGAACAGGGTCCCCGCTACCGGTGGTGATGTGCGCCGCATGAAGTGGACAAAGTCTATTAATGAAAATGTCATGCGGGCATATTATCGGGCTACAGAGGTGGGAACGAACCTTACTGCGTACCGTGTTCGACTAGTCTCTTTGTTTCAGGAGCTTGAACCAGCTGTCAACGTATCAGCACAACGATTGTCGGATCAAGTACGAGCTATACAGCGCTGTCATCTGCTGGATGATGCAGTACTTGAGAGGATACGCTCTGACATACGGAATAGCTTAATTATCCCTTCTTCGTCACACACTGTGGATTCGGTAGCCAACAGCACACCTCAGTTGGCATCATATACTGATGATATTGATGAACTAGTGGAGAGTGAAGTTATATCCGTAAGTACCCAATACAATGATAGGATAAGGAGCGCTTTGGAGGATGCGATTCTGGAATACCGATATTTAAATTGCAATGACAGGCCCCGGTTATTCCGTTTGCCCATTCATAACGAAATTTAGCGCTGGTGGGTGCCCTGGATTCGTTATTGCCTGAATATTTAGATAATAGCGAAGATCTTAGTGATACACATTCTATTCTATATTGTGCGGCTATTGCAGTTTGTCGAGTAGCTGGTGTTAAAATAGCTAACAATGTCACTACTACTCGACCTAAATCTACTGTACCAGCTTGGCAGTATAGAATTGAGCGTCGTATTGCTGAAACCAGGACACTCATCGGTAAGCTTATTAGCTACCGATCAGGGAATATGCGGCCGAGAGTGATGCGCTTTGTGAAACAGGCATTCTTGGGGACTACCATTAGTCCTCAGCAGTACATGTCATGTGTCACAGAGCGCATAGACTTTCTAAAGCAGAAAATTTATGCATGGGCAAATAGGATTAGACGGTATAAAAAACGAATAGATCGGTATAATCAGAATCGGATGTTCCAAAGAAATGAGAAGTGGGTGTACCGGAAATGGGAGGATCCGGATCCATGTGTGGGTGATAGGCATTTGCCAGATGAAAATGTCACAAATACATTTTGGCGTAACATCTGGTCGGTGCCTGTCACTCATATAGAAGGTGATTGGTTGCAGGATGTCAGACGCTCATGTGAGTCAATAACACCTATGGAACCTGTTAAAATTGATAAAGATGATGTAAGTTGTGCAGTTCGTTTATTACCGAATTGGAAATCACCCTGGTCCAGACGGACTGCACAACTTTGGCTTAAGTGGTTCCGAAGCTCACATGCGCGTTTGGCATCTCAATTCCAGGCAGCTTTGGATTCGGGTTCATTACCCCAATTTTTAACCACTGGCATAACCCACTTACTCTATAAGTCTGGTAGTGTCATGGATCCCAAAAATTTTAGACCTATTCAAACTCAAACTCAAACTCAAACTTTCTTTATTTCATAAAATTTTCAAAATTGTTTGAAATCGTCTTCCATGTAGACTCTAAAGTCATAGATCAACACACACAAAAGCAACAATCTCTGTTTTGTCAAATAGTAACCAAATAAATTTAACAAAATCAAACCATACAAAATCTATGATATGCCTGTGCCGATCTACAACCGCCCGTTTCCAAGGGGTTGAGCCTTATGAGAAGAAAGGGCAAACAAACTCATGGCCACTCTTTTGCAATTCACAAGTATATACAATGGCACTATTAAATATATCACAACATTGTTTTGATGTGTGCTAGTATGTCCGTTATTAAGGACTTAAAGGTGAAAAAACAACGAAGAGAAAACAAGATTAAGAAGAACAAACGAATACAAGAGAAAATGAAGTGAAACATAAAAAATAGAAAAAATAATAAAAAACATACTAGCCACACTACATTTTTACTTAAGAAAGAAATAGCCTGCGCTAATTAATCCCAAGCATTCTTGTCCTCCATGTAATCCACAATCGAGTAGTAGGCCCTCTGGCACAAGCCACGTTTTATTGCGGATTTAAATTTGTTAATACTCAACTCCTGAATATTATTTGGGATTTTATTATAAAATCGGACACATTGACCTCGAAAAGACTTGTTTATCTTTTGGAGCCTAGAGGCGGGTACAACAAATTTATTTTTATATCTGGTATTTATGGCATGTACATCACTTTTTTTCAAAAAGCTATCTTTATTTTTGTGAACATATATTACATTTTCATAAATATATTGACTTGCCACTGTCATTATATTTATTTCTTTAAATTTCTGCCTCAATGAACAACGATTGCCTAAATTATAAAGTGCTCGAATAGCTCTCTTTTGCAGCACAAAAATAGTTTGAATGTCGGCAGCATTCCCCCACAGCAGAATACCGTACGACATTATGCTATGAAAGTAACTGAAGTAAACAAGTCGTGCTGTATCAACATCAGTCAACTCTCGGATTTTCCTTACTGCGTATGCTGCTGAGCTGAGTCTACTCGACAATTTATCAATATGTGGGCCCCACTGTAGCTTAGCATCTAGTGTTATACCTAAAAATGTCGTAGTGTCCACAAGGTCCAGCCCGACATCCTTAATTATCACAGTAGTTTTCACTGGCTTGACGTTTGGCATAGTGAAACGTATACACTTAGTTTTTTGTTCAT